CTCCCAGTCACTAAATGGAGCTCTCCGTTTGTTCCCGGCCACAATTGCGACCCCTCTTGGCTTCCACTCTATGTCGAGCACATCATGCAGCACCTGGCAGGGGGACCTTCCGGAGTTGACCGGATGTGTTTTGCTGTTTGACGCTGCATGCACCGTGTCAGCTGGCTGCGTGGATGAGGAGGCAGAGGCGGCCATGGCCGGGCGCCAAAGTGCGATTGTGCCTAAGTGTGGCTATTTGAAATGTCAGAGCTACTACTAGCCGAAGCCGCAGTTTTGGCTTTTGACAGTTCAAATAAATAAGCAAAAGACATCGGTTCAGAAGATAAGGCAATGAGCGGGATACACTAACAGGGCGCGGAGAGCCGCTGACCCTGGTTGCCATCTGGGCTCACACACGTGTGTACGCAAGCAGGTAGCAGTTCGTGTGTATGGCTTGTCGGGTGGCATCATTGCCAGGCTGTGCAGTTTGGCCATCATCATGGATCATATGTGTTGGCCATGGGTCAACGCTGTCTCCAGGGAAATAAAACGCTTGATAATGGCCTGCTGTGACTACCTGGCCAACATGAAGAACACCTCCGCTCAAGATGTATGGTGTTTGTTCAATGTTACCCTTATGGTCTGAAAAGGTGGGGATGTTTATCTCTCGCTGAAGCTGGAAGGTCTGGCGAGTCTTTCTGATCCCCCTGTCAGTGTGTAGAAAGCGGCTGACCTGCAGGATCAGGAGTATTGGAGGGTGTGTGAAGGCGTGAGTGGCATCCTGGTTGTGCCACTGTTGCACTGCCTCCTGAATCTGGAAAGGTCGCTGCATCGGTAACCTGACATGGGGACAGGTGAACTGCTCACCCATGACTTCGTATGCGCCGCCTCTGTGTCTTCTTTCCTCCCATCCCCCTCTGAGAGTTGCGCATTCAGTCTTCTGGCAAAGGTGTTGCAAGAATTCAGCCGCATCATGTTGACGTGTGGGCCGTTGCCAGCCTGGCCATATGAATGTCCATGCTGGGTCCCTGGCAATGTTGACCATCCTGTTCGATCTGGCAGCCTGCATAAGAGGTCCATTCATTTCACCAAGACCCGTGATCGGTCCTTCAAGTGATCTTGCTTGGTGCAACATACGTAGGACAGCATTTGCATAGCAGAGACTATGCGGATTTGCAAAAGCAAGCGCACGCGCGTTCGGTTCCCTCGAGCTAGTACCCATGATCCGCCATGATAGTAATGAGCTATCTTTTCTCTGCCCCCGAGACGCGGCTTTGCCATCAGGCTGATGTACTTTGTCTGGGAGATGCGGAGTCCGCTTATCTCGACGGCTGTCATCCTTGCCATCTGTTTGATGGGTCCCCGAATGATTCGAAGCTCTACTGGAGTGATGGCTGTCTCTGTGATTGCTTTTGACCTGTTCGGTGCTAGTTATCTTGTCCTGGGTTTTTGGGGTAGCGGATATCTGTTCATCAGCAGAGCTTCTTCCCCTAAAGAAAGCGGTGATACTGCGTTGTACAGTGTCGTTGTTACCTTTGGAGTCAGAGGGGTGCGGAGGCCGCTCTTCCCTCAACTGCTCGCTATGATTCCCGGGCTTGTGAAGTGGATCCCACTTGTCACTCAGAGTTGTAGCTTTTCCAGCTCCTTGGCCAAGGCTGTCTTGCTGACCCTTTCCTTGCGTAGGCGAAGTCCGATGACCTTTCCTGCGCAATTGTTGGCTAGCAAGTCCAGGTCTCGGTAGACTTCTGCTGCCTGTTGATGGATGGTCAGGGTTAAGAGCATCACCACTACTTCTGCTTGCATGTATGGTCGGAGTGGCTTTAGGCTCTGAAACCGATGTACAACGCCGTCCTTGGCTGTGTTCCTCAGCAGGTTGGCCACCGCTTGCTTGGCATTCTCGTGTGTAAGGTTGTCCACGCTCGTTGGTAGAGCTTTCTTCTGCTCCACGTTCCATTCTGTGTACCACTGGAGCGGAGTCCGCGAAATCCAGCCGGCTGTTTCCGCCGTTTGAAGTGTCTGGGTGTCGGTCTCGGTCCTGTTGAGTCTGGCCTGCCATTCGAGCAGTAGCACTCCCCACAGGGTTGCCCTCAGTGATGTAGTCACCTTGCCGGCTTCGTACTGTTGGTGCCTGCTGACACTGCGCCGGTCACCATCACAGAGAAGAGGCTGAAGAGGTATAAGATTGCCCTGGATCTCCCGCTCCGCCACTTCTTTCCCAAGCAGGGGTTTGCTCCAGGTGCAGTCTCATATCGTGTCAGGGCTATATGGGAGGAAGTGCTTGATGGTTCGCTCTACGAAAACAATATTACCCAGTCTCTGATGCACACAGTCCGAAAGGATCCAGATGTGTCCAAACTGGTTAAGGAGGAAATTTTTCACATCCTTACCACTTCGGACTCAGAGTCCGAAGATGAGAAGGAGTGCGAAATGGCTGCGTCTAGCTCACATGAGCCAAGGGCTGCCAAAAGGCCTAAGTGACTGAGTGCAGACTTTTAATTTCAACCCGTGTGCACGCGCGTGTGAGCGCAGCGAGGGCATCACTTTTTGAAAAGCAGTGTCGGAGGTCTCCTCACACTTGCTGAGGATGCTCAGCAATGAAGGCATCATTTGAAAAGCGGTGTTTGAGGTCTCCTCACACCTGCTGAAGATGCCAAGCTCATAGACTTGTACATGTATACATCTCTTCTCTCTGTACAGAGCATGACATATATCTGTAAGTCCCAGCCATGACGCCATAGCTGTCGGCCTCCACGGGGCGCAGCGCCGCGGCTGCAAAGGCAGCTATACGTCATGTTGTCGGGCTCCTAGGAGCACAAATGACGTTTTGCCTCACCGGCGAACCCTCACATGAGGGGTGACAAGGCTCACACTCGCCCGCAAGACAACTGACTCAGTTGATGCGATTGAATGAAAAAAAACGACGACCCATCCAGGGGTGAGCTCTCGGGATAATGGGTCCTAAGTTTGTTAGGGATAGTTGCCTCTGTCCCATTACGGGTGCCGCCCTAGCCGATCTCCCTTGATAGGTTAGAAGGGGGGTGCTGAGGTCACGGGAGTTCGTTTGTCCCCATGTGGAAAAACAGTCTCGCGTGTGCAACTTTGGCCTATATTATATACCGACTGTTTGATTGCACATATCTTGATTGAAGAGTCCAATTTTGAATAGATTGGATTTTTGAAATCCACTTTTGAAAAGGTCATTTGTAGATCCCGAGCTACTTGACCTTTTTCAAAAAGTGGACTCGAGTTTACGAGGCAAATTTCAAAAATCCTTCGTTCTTAAGATATAAATTGGATCCTTGAGAACAATCTTGATGTTCGCTTGCCTTCTCAAGTTGGGAGTTAGGGGCACAAAGTTGTACCCTCCCTGTCCCACCCAACTTTGTGCTGGACAGACCTTTGGTCGAAATGTCAAATTTGGCATTGATTAAAACCATGGCCAATATCAAACTTGGCATTGATAAAGCCCAACCCTGGCCCTCCCTGTGTGTTGCAGTCCCAAACTGCTCTCCCATGCAACAGCAATGCACATGCATTGCACCTTGCAGGCCGATGCCATGGCCATCAGTGTGCACAGGTTCCACCAGGTCCGTAGAGGTCAGAGGTGCACAGCAGGTCCGTAAAGGTCAGTTCGAGGTTGTTGCTCAAAACGAGCGTGGGCCTACCCCAGCCGTTGTGCTGAGGTCACGGGGGTTCGTTTGTCCCCATGTGGAAAAACAGTCTAGCGTGTGCAATTTTGGCCGATATTATATACCGACTGTTTGATTGCACATATCTTGATTGAAGAGTCCAATTTTGAATAGATTGGATTTTTGGAATCCACTTTTGAAAATTTTTGTTTTTCGCTTGCAGAGGCTTGAGTCCATGGGAGCATGGGGTTCGAAAGCCCGCCTTGTTCTGAAACTTTTTTGCGCATTTGTGTAGCGAATTTGCGCTCAAACGTTTGGTGGGCGAGATCCGGCTGACTTTTTGAGGCCGGCAGCCTGCAGTGCATTTGTGCAAGGGTTGCGCAAGCTGCTTCTGAGTACTTGGAAAAGGGGGTTTTGCTTTTGAGTGTGGGCTCGCTGCAGAGCTGGCCTTGTTTCGCCCTTCCCTGCGAGTCCCTAATTGCCCTCTTGCCTTCGCCCGCCAGGTGCTCATCTTCTGAACGCTCACTGCGCCGGGCGCCCTGAGTGCCAGCAATTAAGACAAAGCATAAACCTTGAAAGCTGGACTGCCCTAAACCGCACCCTACCCACGTCTGGCCTTTTCCCTCTGTAAGAGTGCCTTGCGCAGAGCGCTTGCGTTTGCGAGGAGGTTTTTGAGGGTCTTTAGGTGTAGGAGGGTTCCCCCCTAACCCCTCAAGCCCCCAAGTCCTTGGGAGGTTGGTCTCATAAGGTTTAGGGCCGATGACCCTTGCTGCTTCTTCCAAGGTCATGGCTGAGGACGGCGCTCTCCGCCTTGAGGCGTGAAGTGGTGTGTGTGTGTGTGTGTGTGTGTGTGTGTGTGGCCGGAGGCCTGCCACTGCAATCCAAGCGAGGGTGATGCTGGTGAGTCGGAGCCGCCAGCATAGAGGGCCCGGTACTCTGAAGGCCTCCGTTTATTGAGGTGTTGAGAAACGTGCAGTTTACAGCAGCGTCTGCAGCTGTGCTCCCTAAGTGCAAACTCTGCATTAATTGTTTCGGAAGATGCCATTCATGTCCTAGTTTCTTGAGCAACGGGCAATTGTGCAAAATTTCGCTCAAGCTGCATCAGATATCATTAGATAAGTCCGTTGCGGCCCATGCCATCCTGCGCGTGCGATCACACAACAGGCCCAGTATGGTGTCCATCCTCTGGGTGTGTGCTTTCATTAGCCCGACTTGTTTGCCAACTAGTGCATTTCGCCCCGCCACTGACACTGAGACGGCAGAGACGGATGCAAAGTCCGGAGGCTCTGAGATCCATGGCACTAGCCTTCGGGCTTCAGAAGTGGTGCAGTTCTCTGCTGGCGGTGGGGCGTCCCTCATCCAGTCTCTCGCTGAGGTCTCCGCAGGAGACGGAAGTGCCGAAGCCGGTGCCCCGGCTGACGAGTGTGAGAAGCAGCTGAAGAACCTGGAGGAGCACGTGCTTGAATTCTGCCGAAAGGTTCAGCCCGAATTGAAGAACGGCACCTTCAAATGGCTAACGTACATCACCGAGGTCGACGCCGCGGACATGGCCTCCAAGATCATGCATGCCCTTCGCTGGGGCAAGCGCGATGCTTCCCACGGCCTGCTCTTCACAAAGCAAGCCTTCCATGACAAGAACTCGACGTTGCTGCTATGGAGCGGGGTCAGCCCGGAGTCACGGGAAAAGTGGTGCAAGGCCCTAAACACATACATGCTGCATGCTGGCAGCAACAGCGACCTGCAGACGCCCTTCGGGTGCCTCATCGAACAGACAAAGGATCAACATAATGGCAAGCTTCTTGGAGGCTGCGAGTGGCCTCAGCAAGAGCCGATCTGGCAAACGGCCTCTGATGCGGTCGTGTGGCGCAATGGCGATGCCCTCGTCCGATTCTTGGTCAACAAGACGCTGGTCAAGGAGAAGTGGACTCTCCGGGAAACCATCTTCTTCAATGCGGAGCTCCCCACTTTGGCCAGATACCCGCCCGCTCAGGGCTTCAGGGTCTTGAATCTTCACCCCCACGTCCGATGCATCCACCTGATGCCAATCATCCGCGACAAGATCGAGCAAAACGGCCTGTTGGATGATTGGAGGAAGGCGAAGACCTTCTCATGCGTGGACACTGCGGGCGAGCGGATGCAGGAGGACCCAAAGGCTATGGACAGCAAGGCTTCGGAGTTCCTGAAGCCAGGGGAGCAGATGAAGCCCGAATGCGCCATCAGCCCATTGACAGAAGAGGTATACAAGCAGTGCCTTGACGAAGGCCACATTGACTTTGAGGTTTTCCGCACCATGGCAAGGCAATTCCCGATGGACTACCGTCCGGACATTGCGAGCCTGCGACTGCCGGATCTCGTGAAGGACAGTCCGCAGCTCCTCCGCATCCTGCCAGATGTTATGGAGATGTTCAACACCACTATCTCAGCTGAGCTATGCCTGATGCAGTTTGAGAATCCAAGCAGCGTTGCAGGCCTAGATGCAGGCCTGCTGCACCAAGCCTGTCGGGAAGCGCACGCAGCACTGCAGAAGCTCGTGCATCGTGCGCTCGAAGAATCCGATGCAGAATATTATGTTCGCGAAGCTGCCGCTCAGGCCCTAAATGGGTAAAGAGGCAGTGGGAGCAGTGCCTGCGCTGCGGAATGCCCTCAAAGACTCCAATCAACATGTTCGCAGAGCTGCCGCTCAGGCCCTGGGGGCCATGGGCAAAGAGGCAGTGGAAACTGTTTTGCCTGAGCTGCAGAATGCGCTCCAACACCGCAGTTGGAGGGTCCGCATAATCGCTGCTCAGAATTTAGTGGACATGGGCAAAGAGGCAGTGGGAGCAGTGCCTGCGCTGCAGAATGCCCTCAAAGACTCCAATCAATATGTTCGCGAAGCTGCCGCTCAGG